TGGCACCCGATTGCTCTAAGAGATTTGTGATTCGATGCGACGCGAGTGATCTCGGCATGGGGGCTATATGTGCCAGGAGGAGAGTGCTGGTAACGAAAGGCCAGTTTTGTATTTAGGTCGAAAACTCAGCGGCAGGGTAGAAGCATACAGTACCTCTGAAAAGGAATGCGCTTGCCTGGAGTGGGCCGTTCAAAAGCTAGCTTGTTATGCCTCCGCTTCGAGGTTTATGGTCGAAACGGACCACTGTCCTCTTACCTGGTAAAATAACATGTCGCCTAAAAGTGGCCGGTTACTGAGGTGGAGCATGATACTCCAACAGCGCTACTTTGACGTTCGTTAAAAAAACGAAAGCGAAATGCTAATGCAGACGCATTGAGCCATGTGTTTAGTTAGTACCTTCTCCGCCTTTCAGTTTCTCGCTGGCAATTCTGGGCAAAATTTTGTCCTCATCATGGCCTTGGCTGAGCGCTCTCGTCCAGAATGAGCTCAAGGAGCCATCTTCATGTTCTATTCTATTTAGTTACGTTGTTGTACGTCTAAAAATTTGAGTTCTCATTTTAAGAGTCTTATGTCCCACATGTGCCTCTTGATGTAGAGGGAATGAAATTCCGATAGACTTGTAAGGTATATGTTATTATATACTTTGTCTGGTGTTCTGTCGGGTGACTGAGGGCACTTGCTTGTGTCGTGTGTTGTTGTCTATTGTTGAACCGTTCTTGACAAGTTGCAGAACCATCGACAAGTGCTGAGACCAAAGACCGTCAGAAGAGACGAGCGAAGCTGGCCGACAAGTTGTGGCGACAAGCCAGTGGAGCTGGCATCCGTCCTCAAGAATGGCATGAGTTCCCGGAACATAGTCTAGAGCTGCATTCTCCCCATGGCCCTGGAGGCGAACCTGGAGGGACCTGGCGAACGAGCGCGCCTGATAACCAAGCCACGTGGAAGCAGCTCGTCCTTCCGGCGCATTGTCTGGGGGCTGGGGTGCTGTTATGCCTGCGAGTCCACACCGAACGTCCACGCCTCTGAAAAAGGCAATCTGTGTCAAGGCAAGCACGCGAGCCCACCTGACGCGAACAACTCAACGGTGTCATCACGTGGCAGTGCCTTTCTGTCGCGCACGCACAGCGAGCCCGTTGCTGCAATAGGCACCTTCCTGTCTGGCGAGACTTACGCAATGCGTGGTGACGTCACTCCTCCTTGGCTGCAACCAGGCGCAGCGGCTACGGATTCGATGAGAATGACGCGGCCCAGTGGCGACGCCATTGGAGGTTTCTGACCTCACGGCCAGCGGCGCTTCTGGTTGGACATTTGGTTACTCAAAGAATTTTCCCGTTGCATAGAAAAAAAGCCCTGTGGCGCATCGCGAGCAGTAGACCTATTCAGAGAAGAGAGCTCGGCTCTTCGAGTCTTTAAACTGTCGGCCCCGGTGCCAAATTTGTAACTCCTCTGTATATATGCTGTACATAAACCTTGTTTAACTTACTGTCGTCTTGTCCGGTCTTCTATCAGCTCTGCGCAGAAGCAGTCGCGAGCTGAGAAACCGACGCTACGAAATGGTTGGTGACCTTGTCAGCAGAAATCGGAGAAGTGGCGCCTTCGGGACCGTGTGGGCGTCGCCGCCTTCGTAACATCGCACTCCTGGTCTCCATGACAAATTCCGACCGCGCTTCACCGGGCCATACACAGTTTTAGTACAGATTTCACCGGTCAATTATTGTGTGACACCACTTGTCGCCTCAACAGACCGCTGTTACTGCAGCACCGAGTTTGTCCACGTTTCTCGCCTGAAACCTTTCACGCGACGTTCCCCGTCACTTTGACTTACAGCGGCCAAAGTGTCCGCTTCCAAGTGGGGGGAATTAGTGTGGGCATTTGTCACTTATATTGTTCTCATCTCTGCATGATCATAATCATCATCATCCGCTTGCCTCTTCCTCATGGCCACTCTTTGCCATCATCATTGTCAACGTTGGTGGACTGGCTCTGCCCGTTCGTTTTGCGAGGTCTTTCCTCAAATAAACGCGGTCGCAACCAAGACTACCAAGACTATAGTATGTATGTGGAAAGCGTATATTAACTATGTATTTTAGCGGACTAGAAAAGACCCAAAGTGCTGACTGCGGAATCCGGGCACTGCCAGAAAAATTACACCTAATTAGTTTTATCCAGGGATATTGCATGATTCCTTTTTTGTTTCGAAAAGCAGGCACATATTTTAATGTTCTGTGAAGTTCAAAGAATTTATTTTTTTTCGCTCTTTTTTATAGACCACGACTCAAAACTATAAATCAAAGCAGACTTGTGATTCTTTTTTTATCTCTAAAAAAAGTTCCAGTCGCAGTGCTTGGTAAGCGCGTGACCTCGAAAACAGACAGAGATAAAGGAAAACTAAAACACTTGAATGGTTACAGTGTGCAAGAAGTATTCTAGGTTTGTATTGACAGTTTTTACACAATTACGTCACCAACAAATAAAAGAAAATGCGAACCGACCCTAATGTTAGCCTTAGGGTTGTGAGCGTAACACTCGCACTGACAGTGTTCGTAAACTTGTGGTTAACCTGGCACAATCGTCTTTGTTTTTCTCAGTTTATGCGTAGATATTCCACCCTACTTTCTACTCTTATTGTAGTTTCGCACGAACCTCAGCAAGCTTCGGCACCTCCGGAATAGCGGCACCTCTGACAATGCAACAAGTTCTCGTGATCACGTGATGTCTCGGTGGGCCGTAATGACGTCACAACTTTGTCATAAAGACGTGACATGACGACGTCATAAAGTCATCCTGGGAGATCGCGTGACTTTTTTCTTCGTTAGCGCTGACGTCGGTTGTCACTTTTCTAAAGTTTGATGAGGCATCTAACCCCTCTTTTTTGAGTGTGACTGTTTACTGGAACCACAACCATCGATTTCGTACCAGGCTGGAGAAGCGTTTCAACGTATTGCTGCCTATACTAATTTCTACTAAGTATGTGACTAATTTAAATGTATGAAGTACGGTCTAGTCGACTCCAACATTATGATCCTAACTAATAAACATAGCAGAAATCTAGCATAAAAACTATAACTTAAAGACCCGAACTATAGCTTTATCTCTTTTTATATTTTTAACAGGGTTTTCAAACAAATGTCACTGGTGCTTCACACGGTAGTCTACAAAATATCAAAGTGTATCATTCGTTACTCTTGCCGCTAAAAGCTTACAGCGTCCCAAATGCATTCGCCTAAGGCGACTCAAAGGTGAAAACCCTCCCCTCTTTCTTCTCAGTGGATGCATTCATCTTCTTCCGCTCTCTTCCGGAAGCTTTCTACACCTAACGTGGTTTCTACATTGCCATTGGAGGCATTGCTAACTCTCTGCGTTTCACGTGGTTTAGCGCTGCCTCCATGATAGGCCCCCCTTTGACCAAGTGATGACGTCATGTGATGATGACCTCCTGATGGCAATACAAATTTCATCGATCTGTGACGCCATGATGTGACGTCATGTGTTGATGCCACCAACCTATCATTGTGATTGTGATGACGTCATGTGAAAACGTCAACACATTTTTTTTAGATTCACTGGTGTTGAAGCCACCAAACCCGACAGTTAACTGTCGCTTTTTGTGAGGCATCTAAGGACAGCGCCTTAATTAAAAAGATGACAAGCATCTCAAAATGATTTATCTTATATAGGTCATCACTGAAATGAAACATCTCTCGTGATACACAAGTCCGTTTTTCATGGAAGCCGAAAAAGGTCTTTGAACTAAGCCAATCCCAATGCCCGCCCTGCACATGGCTTGTTCACCTCTGTGTGATAGAGGTAATCAGTTTCACTTCTCTTCAACCGAACACCCCATCCCTTCTTCATTTTATTTTATTTTGCAGTTTTTATTGCGATAGAAATTATATGGACACTCTTGGGCTGGATTTTGTCACTGGCGTCACCGTCACTCACCGTAAACGTACACATATCTATATATTTGAAGATGCAAGAAAGAAAAAAATCCAGAAGAAGACTCCGGCTCGTGGAATCGAACATGCGTCCTCTGCATCGTGAGTGCGAGGCGCCAACCACACAGCCACCGAGGAGCATGTTATTGGACGTTCAAACGGCAAGCTATTTATGTCTACCACTTACCGCTGCTGACGGGCATGTCGGAGAGAATTATCGTGTTTTCAGCATACCAGCAAGGGGGCCCAATGAGCGCGCGTCGCCACATCACGCGGCGGCGCGCTCTCATACCCCATATGTACTTTGCACCGCGGAATGGAGGAAGGCAACGCTCACTCGCATGCTCTTATTTCGCGGTGGGGAAGATCGTACGTCTTGGGTGGCCTTGCGTTTTCCCCGGTACAATTTTGCTGTGGTTACCAGGCGCCCAAAGTCCCTGCAATCATTGCAGTCTTCGCTTGCGAAACGTGCGCACTTTTCTGACTCAGCTAAGTAACAACTTAGACGCTTAGTCGCGTGCATCTGTACCTGTGAGTACGTTTAGTGTGTCATTTGTGCGTGAGAAACGAGGGGAACGTTTCGATCTGCTTTCCATTCTTTGCGTGACCTTCCAATTTGTTGCTATTGTGTTCATTGCTTCGCCTTTCCGGCAAAGCTGTGACTTTTTTTCTTATTAACAACGTAAGCATAACTAGCTAAAGTAAGTCTCCTCATACGTACGATAGCTCAATAATCAAACCCTGTCTCGGTCACAATGGGGCCGAATTGTAGTTCTCTGCTAGTTTATCGCTCATATTTACCTAATTCGTCTCTAGCTCTTCTTCACAGCAACTTCCATCTTCTTCCCGTGATATATAAGATTAGAATAAAACATAATCTCACAATACAACGAGTGTCACTCAATCGTTACTTTTTTTTCTAAGTCTTCAATCTAGCGGGTCGCTGTGTGTCTCGTGACATCCTTTAGGCGTAAAATGACACCGCGAAAAGGCTCCAGAGGTACTTACTATCTGAGTCCTGATAAGGCGCGGCCGGTCAGCTAAGTCTACTTACCGAGAGCGTCGCAATACGGTCTTGAAGTCGAGAAGCAAAATTTGGCCACCAACTTCCTCGTCTGACTTACAGCATAAGTATCGTTGAAAGCGACTGCCGAGTGGCTTATTCGCCATCAGACATCATGGCGAACGCATTGGTGGCTGCCTGTGCCATCTGTGTGATTTTGCGCTCCCGTTTGGTGCTTGCAGATGAGTAAGTACACGCACACAGTGTTTTCTATTTGAATCGTTCGAACATCACGGTATGTTGTTCGCAGTGAATGTCGTCTTTCATTGAAATGATTTCTTCTGCCACTATTCATGCAATGTCGGGAGATACTACTGTTTGTCGTACCATTTTTAGATGGATAATTACACAATATAAATAAAAAGAGGCCTGATCGTGAATACATAAATACTCTAGTTAGCTTGAATAAAGGCCGCGCGAAGCTTATATTACTGTAGCAAACAGCATTTGATAGGCACTTTGTTCCTGATGCCCACATTACTTGTTGTGTCATGAAATTTTGGGAGTGTTATACTACAAAAAATCATAAAGGAAAGCATCCTTGTAGAAGAAAACATGTGACACTAGTCACTCTGGCGTGTCTTAAAACATATAAAAAATCTAAATACTGCTTTTCACGAGTAGTTTTGGTTTTTAGGTCAAACTGAAAGACTTCTGCACCCACCTTTCATAAAACTCTTGAACAGACGCTAAAAAAGCAATCAGTTTAAAAGAATAAATTTTACTCAGAAGCTCTTCTGTCATTATTTCACCTTAACAGGTTCGTTATTAGAAAATAAAATTATGGTAAATGTAGTAGGTAGTTTTTATTTTCACGTCAGATTTCTAAAACAGACGGGACAAATTTCAAAGTGCTTTTTCCGCATTTTGGCGACGTTGCCCAATTAAGTTTTTTGCAACTTAGTACGCTATATCTCTGGCCTCCTCATGTGAAAATGCGCATCATTTTTATAAATTATAAACTACGTAGACCTTAATAGACGCCGTCTAAATGCATGACGTCACAGTTATTTTTGTAAGAACTTCAAAGTGGCGTCACCACCCACACCTTCTCTTTGCGTGTTTTTTTTTCTTTTACAAAGCATCTTTTCTCTGCAAGCCTAGTGGTTTTTGCATTTTTAAAAAATAATATACTAATACAAGAAAAGTTATTTGTCTCTAGTGTTTCTTCAAGATCGCCAGTCACTACCACTGCATGAGAGCTCCTGTGGGAGTGCTCTCGTAACAAAGAAATCAACTAGACAAAAAGCATTTTTACGCTATGTCTATATAGATAGATATAAAGGAGAAAGACATTACTTTCTTTGATTGATTAATTGATTGAGTGATTGATTGAATGATTGATTGATTGACTGATTGATTGATTGATTGATTGATTGATTGATTGATTGATTGATTGATTGATTGATTGATTGATTGATTGATATCAAACAACAGTGGTGTGAAGAAATTGCTTAGTTAAGCTTCATTAGTTTTCGAATGAATGAAAATACAGCGCATACTGAAGGATTGCAATTGTCCCATAATAATGCACAAAAATTTATGAATTCGAAGCCATGATATGTATAGTAGTCAATGTTGCCGGATATTGGCTACCCTGAGAGCTAGCTACAGTGTCTATGTAAATGTACAACAGAACCAGATATCCGAGTTTGGTAATATAACGGGCATACAATACCAGGATCTTATTTGAAGCACCAGTCGCTTAGAGTGTTTAGCTACGACGTCCAAGGCTAACCAGTGAAATTTCAAGCTTCCACACAACTTCACGATCAGCTTTAAATACAAGTCTAAAGAGTAAGCGATGCCAATAAAAAACGGGAAAAGACGATTTTTAATGACATAAACGAATTTTAAATGGTCACACGATAGCTCACTTCATCTCTCCGAAGTGTCGTTGTTTTACTTGACTGCGTCTCCGCGCTTGGCTTCGTGGAGTCAAGCTACCAGCTGCACCTATATACATGAACATGATGCAATCTCCGAGCTCCTATAAACTATGACCACGTTGATTCACGTGTTCGCCTGCGTAAATTCATCTCTGCTTTGCAGTGGCACCTTTCTTTGAAAACGCTCAGTAGTTCGCTCGAAGTGAATATAACCCCATGAGGTATTTCGAGGAGACGCTGCGCAGTAACACGTGCGCTAGAGCCAACAAGAAAACCCCTGGCCTCGCCTGGCCAGAGTAAGATGCACTTATACTACTGGCTCTGTATCGTGGTGACCCTGAACCACTGCCAACGAGGAAATACGCCAAGCCAGACGCTGGCTAGATCCCTGCAATCCATCCAGGTGGGAGAAAGATACCCGAAAATAAGCGTGAACTGACCCCTGCGCCACTGCAGCTTCTGCGAAGAGGTTATTCATACAGTCACGACTAATTATTGTGGTCTTTTTGTTGAACAAGGCTGGGCCCTTGGTGGCCAGCTTTTCCATTGACGGTAATTCGTGCTCACATGCCTAGCTACACTGTGCTGCCTTTAACGACAACCATGACACTATGAGTCTTAAGTGGTTCATCGCTGAGACCTATACGTCATAACTCCGAGTGGCTGTGTCACGCACCATCAGTTAATGAAGCATTGTGACTACGTTCACAAGACTACAGTTCAGCGTTGTTTTGAGAACTGATCATCATTGTTATGAGGAAACTGCGGAAATATAGACTGTGGCATCCCCTTCGCCGCACGAGTATAAGAAGGATCCCGTTTCCTTTAGCTAAGCAATTAGAGGCGTGGGGCAGTAACCATCCACACTATTCTATATATACTGGTCAGAGTAAAAAACTGGTGACCACGGCATGTTTTACATGTGCATTGAAAAAAAGTGCGGTAAAAAGAGAAATTGGCTGCGTACTCTTAGGAAGGAAGGAATAGATACGATGAAAAACTGTCGCCCTGCCAGTGCTTTTCTTCCGTAGGTGTTGTAAAATGTTTTCCATTATCTAACACTGGTTTTATTCGTGGAACTTAAACTGGGGGACAAAAAGACGACAGACAAAGACGTCGTAACTGTCGCCTGTTTTTTTTTTGTTTTTCAATTTAGGTTCCGCTGCTCAAACCATTGGTAGCTATGAAGCAATTCGTTCCGGTGAATACCGTTTCGGCCTTTAATGTTGTTCCCTCAAAAACATTGAATCGTAAATATTGTACAGTCTTCAATGTGTTTATAGGAACAAGAGAGATGGCAGATTAATAATGGTGATGAAGCTGCGCATTGCTATTCATTTTCACACTATCTATGGCTGTGTTCCGATTCTTAGACAGCATCGTAGACAGTCCGCGCAGACAGCTTAGAAAACAGCACCGAGTTCATGCTGTCCGAGGAATCTGGACGGTTTCGACGCGACGACGTGCCACGTGGTCTTGAGAAGAGGAAGCTAAAATAAACAAACGTAACTGTTGTATTTTCTGGCCTATTTTGCGTCGAAATTTAAAAGAAATTAAAAGTTGCTCGCATTGACCGTCTGGATAAGCGTTTGATTGTGTGCAGACGACCGTTCCGGCGAGATTCAATCTATCTAGGCGATTCGCTGAGCCGCGATCTTCTTTGAACAGCAAAGTAGCCTGCATCGTATTTGTCTACGATACCTTTTTCTCGGAGCCGCCTATTTTCCTGGATACTTAGAATTGGAATGGGACTTGAGATAGCCGCCGTCAATTTAACTGTTTATTCAACCGTCTATATTGTGAGTATTGAAAGATACCTATGTCCATTGATGAGAAATAATAGTTGCATTGTCTATACGTACTGACAACCCTCACTGGGCGTTCCAAACAAAAAATGGGTAAACAAATAATTCCTCAGGGTACACGACATCATCGGAAACGACCAAGTGTGTCACGCATGAGCAACAGTTGTGTATGCCAGCAATATATATTTGCCATCTCTCTTACTGCAAGTCAATCTCCGAGGCTCCTGAAACACCTATTCGGTATCAAAATTTCCAATATGAAACAAGAAAAATATAACTACAATCTTGTAGTCACCACTGAGACACTCACTAATGTCTCATTCCGATTCCCGAGTGGCCTGGCCATCTTGTCGTACCTCTGGACCTTTTGCATTCGTGCGCCAATTCTGCATCAAAGTTTTCTAAGCACGCTTATTCTGCCTGAATTTTTTTCAGAAACTGTTTCGTAGTGGCACCCAACGTCTTCAGAGTGGGGACAACCGAAACTCTCGCGATCATGGTGGACGGTGGTGCAAAGAAAGTGACTGTTGCACTCCGTAATTTCCCCAACTCTCCGAGGACTTTCTTTTACCAGTCTTACAATGCGAGCCCTGGTGAGTAAACTCAAACAGTCTTTGAAGACTGTCAGTTATTCAAGCAAGAGCTCATGTCTAATGTGTAAGCAGACGCACACAACGTTATGTTTTATTCATGCCCGAGTGCATGCTAATGTGACCGCAGAGAAGGTAAAGGTGGCCATTCAGGTGCCGGGGAAGGAGACAGTCCTGAGAGACTTACAAATTTATTTACATATTTACAGGTGTCAAGAACACTAGGCGTCCAGACACGCTTTTATACGAGACATGACCAGCCATAACGAAGGATAGAGAGAGAGTGTGTCCAGCGCTCACGCAAATCTCCTTTTATATCCCCCTGTCCGTGCACGCAGTTCTTGTCAAACGCCGACTGCGTGCCCCAGCAACACCAATGTGCGTTCCCTGCAGTGCACACGGACACCGCTTCCGTTCCTGCAGGACGCGTACCACATTTGAACGGTACGCCAATCAGCATCCCTTGGAGACCATGTCCTTATTCTGCCAGTCATAACACTGCGCAAACAAATCAGATACTTTCACTTTTAGAACCTTTGTCCCGCCATCGGTACCAGTCGAAGAATACTTACCTTTTTTTACGTAAAAATCAAAGACAAAATTGGAGAAGATAGGATTACCTTAAAACACTCTTGTATGAAACACTCTTGTAGGCGCCACTCGCTGACACAGAAAATCGTACAAAGGAAATATATAGGTGTCATCCACTTTGCTATTTATTCTCGAGGTTTTGTCGTGATACAGCTTGTCGGCTTTTGGTTTCTGGGCATGCCTATAGCTTCAGACTCGGCACCCATTATGTCCGTGTGCCAAACAAGAATGCATGGCGTAAAAATACAGCTCCAAATAAAACCATCTAATGCACCGGAAATGTCGAGTGATAAAGTTGTATCGGTTGACCAGTTCCTATAGCTATGATGCTAATGTCAGATATGAATTATTTCTGTAGCAGAAACCTAACTGACATTTCGCAGGTTATCCACGAATTGAGGACATCATCGTGCGGGTGAATGATGTGCCCGAGCTGCGGTACGAACAGAACAATGTCTATGTCACGCTGGAAGTTACATGCGGCGCTTTGTGGAAAAGGAGTACGCAGGTTCTCGTGAGCCCTGCATCTGGAGAGCATTTTCTCGTTCAGATTGAGAAGCCCATCTACCATCCAGGAGAAAACGGCAAGTATCATAAGATAATTTCGAATTGCCTCACAGTGACAAAACATTAAGTTTGTAGATGCTCTTAAAGTGATACTTTAGCTTGGATCGAGATCTTATTTCTTCATTCAAATGCTTTAAATCGAAGAACCACTTTTTTCCCCCATTTTTGAGGCAGTCTTCTCAGGTCATGGAATAGCTGAGAGGTGCAAAGTCGTGATCAAAAGGTCGCGTGTAAGCCACGTTTCAGGGAAGGCCACTAGGTCAGGTTCCTAATCGATAACCTAATTTTCAAGACTGTCAGGCTTGTTGATGATGCTCGTACATTCACTATGAGAAGTGCAAGTCCACCGATTTTGCGGCACGACGAGTAGTAGCTCTGTTTTATCCTGTGTATTTTTTTGGGGCGGGAGGGATGAGGTGAGTATGTTTTTCCGCATCGCTGCACGAGCAATTCAGAAGCCAACATCTTCGGGGTTATCTATTTTTTATTTATTTAGGTAATTATTTATTTATTAGTCGTACTGTTAACCGTCCATTGAGAGTCATTACAGGGAGAGTGCTCTACATTATTACATAAATACATGAAGAGCATTTGTAAGATAAATTGTGTAACTTATAGCACACTTTGTTGTTGTATGATGCACACAGTTACATGCTTTTCACTCACAACATTTGATGGAACATTTTTTAAGAAAACATAGAAAAATACTAATCTTCTATTCGTTTTTTAACAAAATTCATGTCAAGAGTAGCCTCAAATTCACTCAAAGTACTTTTTGCACCACATCATTTGGTAATTCATTTCACATTTTAATAGCATCAGGGAAGAAGGAAATTTGGAATAGCATGTATTGGTTCTATGAATGCACTGCATGCGTGTTGTTATTGGAAACCTTTTGATGTAGCAGGTCAAATGATTATCCTTGCTTATTGCCACCCCTGCATGTAAAATTTGGAAAAGGATTTTGAATCTCTGTTGCTGCCATGTTAATTCTAGCAGTGCTAATTTATATACTTTCAACATTGAAGTCTCAAAATGCCTTGTTTGATACTTCAGGCAGATAAAGTGAGCTGACATTCTCTGAACACGTTCTAGTTTATTTTTAAAACCTCTTGATGTGGACTCCACACAGCACAAGCGTATTCCAACTTCGGACGAACATACGTTTTGTCGGCAAGCAGCTTGATATCTTTCATCACTCGGCCTAAGTTTCTTCGTAGGAAGCACAAATTTTGATATTCTGACTGAAAAATGTTTTCAATATGATTACGCCAGATTCAATTTATCTGTTATAGTTACACCCAAGTATTTAAAACTACGCACTTTCACCAACATATTATCGCCTGTGTTATGCGCAAACGAAAGCACTTCCTTTTTTTGTAATCAGTGTGTGAGGTTGTTTTAATGTTAATTTCCATACCCCACTGAGAGCACCATAAGTTTACAGTTTCTAAGCACTCCATTCATTTAACTTGATCTTCTCTGCATGATACCAGACAATAAATTAGGCAGTCCTCTGCAAATAGCTTAATTTTCAGTGGTGGTTCGGTAAGTGATGAAATATCATCTATGTGTAAAAGGAAGAGTATACGGGCCCCAATACAGACCCCTGAGGTACTCCCGAATACACCTCCCGAATTTTTGACATGGCATCACTATACCTGCTTGTTGGCGAATGACCAGATAAGCTCCAATCCAATTGAGGACATTCTCACTAATACCGACGTTTCGAAGCTTTAACAGCAATTTACGGTGTGAAACTCTGTCGAACGCCTTTCAAAAATCTATACGTATAACATCGATTTGCATGCAGGCATCTACAGCAACACACAAGTCATGTATATTTTCAATCATTTGTGCGACAGTTGAAAGGCCTGTGTGAAATCCATGCTGAAAGGGGCGTAATAATTCATTTTTCACTAAAAATTGCCCAATATTTTTTGCCACTATATGTTCAATTATTTTCCAACACACCAACGTGAGACTTGTCAGAAATAATAGCAAATTTTTCATTATTTTATCGGTTTGCTATCGCACTGTTCCAAAACTTAGTTCAAATATCTTACCAGGTTTGCCGTTGGTAACTCCTTTGCGCCAAATTGGCCAGTTTAGAACCACGTCTGGCGACAAAAAAAAAATCTTGTGAGCGCTATGGCAACTTTTGGGCTCACTTGAACTCCTGTTTTTGTGCGTTTAGTATACAATTTTCTCTTTATGTGCAAGAAAAAATTGGGGAACCATTAAGCATCTCTTCAAGAGTTGCACGTGATATCCTGTTTCTAATTTAAACCACTTGTTGAATACTTTTTATTGTATGATGTTGTTCCAGACGTTTAAACTGTCGATTATTACAATGTAGTCGATAAAGCTGAAAGTGGCTTGCGCAGTGAAACTTTCGCTTGTGACTGAATTCTGTGTAGTTGGCAGCATGCTCTAAACCACGAGCAGTTACGAGATTGAAATGTTTTTTGAACTCGCTATGCACCCAATGCGTGGTCTTAAAGGAACGCGCGCCGTAATGTCTGTGCCTTTTGTAATGAGTGGCCGGCTTCAAACCGTGAAGTCATTATTAATCCCATGTTCCGACACCTGATGACAATGTACACTTGTACGTAGGCCCGTGTACTCAGATTTGGGTGCACGTTAAAGAACCCCAAGTGGTCAAAATTTCCGGAGCCCTCCACTACGGCGTCTCTCATAATCATATGGTGGTTTTGGGACGTTAAACCCCACAAATCAATCAATGTACGCGTGTACCTCGCAATAGTACTGTAATAATATATGTATTGTGAAGCCTGCATACAGGGCGCGTGTGTTTGCAAAGCAAGAAAGTTATTTTCACTGCATTTTCAAGAATACGCAATGATTGAGTGATATGTGAGGTTTAACGTCCGAAAACCACTCTATGAATATGAGAGATGCCGTAGGGGAGGGCTCCGGAAATTTCGACCCCCTGGGGTTCTTTAACGTGCACGCAAATCTAAGCACATGGGCCTTCAACATTTCCGCCTCCATCGGAAATGCAGCCGCCGCATCCGGGACTCGATCCCGCGACCTGCGAATCAGCAGCCGAGAACCTTAGCCACTAGACCATCGCGGTGGGGCAAGCAGACGCATTCTTGCATGGTAGACCACCTGTTTGCCACCCAAAAGTTTTGGGTTCAGTCTTTACTGAGACCTGAAATTGTTATTATGTTACGGACAAGATGATGAGTTATCCCTCACAACCAACGACGCTAACGCAGACGCTGGAACGTCAGCCAAACGAGCTCTTTTACGCAGTAATAGCCCGGAAGTTTCCAAACTTTGCCTTCGCGTCAGCCCATGCGCGCATATCGACCCGCTCGTGCAGCGGGTCGCATGGTGCGCATCAAGGCATTCTCCGTGCAAAGCACGGCGCGCCTACAGAGATCGAGTGTTGAAGTTGCTTGCATGCTCTTAACCACGTGACTAGCGCGCTGCTTGCGCCACCCTGCCATCAGCCTCGAAAGCTGATAGCACGGCGCATGTTCTCAAGCGACCTTCGCGCAAAGTGAAGATCCACACCAAAACAAAGCAGGTTTTCTATTATGGTTTATCTACTGATCGTATTCGGTGTGCAGCTTCAAGTATAAACTGCCTCAACATTTACTGCTTATACTGATTTTTTACTCTAATTTTCAAAAGTGACTGTTTCCAGCGAGAGCTTTATTTTGAATATCGTCACCTGCATGGTGCAAAATATTGTTTATGGAACTAAATATAAAAAAACGCAAAACTATTCATGCAGCCGGAAACCCTTAGCTTCTTGAGCAACGTCATATTTGAACCCATCTCTTGTTAAATTATTTATACAATATGTAATTAAACAAGGCCGTACACACTGAAATCACTATGAACGAAGTCAGCTGCATTCTTTGGGGATTCCGTTTCTGACTGCAACTGAAACTTGATCTTTTTTTTTATTTGCATTGATATGGGATACGAGCCGTGCGTGTGAAATTAGTGCCTGCCCCTTAGATTGTTCAGAATAATTCTGGTCGTTTTATTCTTTCTAACTACAACAGAACTGCTAACACAAGAGCCACGAAATCCAGTCTTTCCTCTCTGTCTCTAACAGAAGTATAATGTTTTGCCGCTTCAACCTATTTTACAGGATGTAACACCGTAGTGGCCTTCACGACACATTTATTTTATCTCCGCACTGAACGTCAATTGCTTTGTTTATCGCTATAAGGTAGGCATTGCATTTTGTAAAGCCAAAGCACTCTCTGACGCTTTTTCTACAACGCGGAGCAAGGTAGGGGAACCACTTTCTTTCTCAACCAAGTGGAACTAGCCATCGTTCTTGAGAAGCAATAACCATCATTGGACCAGTAGCTACTATAGTCAGTAAGAAGGTTGTTCATTGTTCTTTTTTAATTACTGTATTCCGTTACTTTGTGTTTGGTCTCTTCCCCTCAGTAATGCCCTTAGCTTTGAAGGTTCTTGCATAAATCATTAAATAGAATCCGTTTTTGGCAACCCATTGGTGGCTTGAATACCATGCAAGAGGGAAAAAAATGACGCTCCTATTTCTATGGTTTTGCATGAACAAAGTTACTTTTTTATCCAACAATAATAAAACTCCTCATGTTATCGCTTTTGTTTGATTTGGGTACAAATCTGGTGATAAAGTTAAATAACGTAACCACTTCGGGTACCTTTACTTTAAATTCTGGCTGCTATTGAAATCTACCCAACGGCAAACCTGTGTCATGCTTTCGTTCCAAAAGTTACTTTCCAACGAATAGTTCTATATGTATGAATATATGTTCCCGTTTCTGGATTGAATATTTCTCTGTTGAGTCCAGCATCTGGTTAACTACAGGCATATAATCTTGTTTGTTTCTGCTCTACTTACCGGAGGTATTCGTTCGATTACTGCTCACTTTATTAATTATGTCGCTTCAAATATGTTTTCGATCATTGTACGTTTGAGTCTCTTTCACCCCCTAAATCCAGATATTATTATTGGGTTAGTTCACCCGCTAGGATTCTCCTCATCGTCAATTTGTTTTTGCATGAATTTTACTCGAACATTCACACTTGCAATTTGTTTGTTCCAAAAATTTACCTTTTCTTCTAGCTTGTCAGCAAGCCTAGTTCCTTGTCTAATTCAGCTAGGCGGCTTTACTTCACTCTTTTTATATGTGCCACACTTTTCTTTAACCAATGGCCGATTTCAGAGCCTAGATTCCTCTGAATCTGACTGCCATGAAATGAGAGTTTGAGTTTAAGTACACCATGATCAATGAGAACCGCACATCTGTGCGCATTGCAGTACAAATAAGAATAGTCGTTAGAGCTTGCAGGCTTTTTCTCAGCCAATTTAAAGCAGCTCACAAGGTCTGCCGCTCATTGTTAAAACAGGGTGGCTTATTACAATACGTCGCATAGACTCCTCGCAATCACTAATGCAGAATGAAGTGTGACTGTCTATTGTGCCAATGCGGAAGCAGTAGGTGTTTGTAAAAGAAGCGCCAAGCCCAAGAAAGTGGCGCTGTGCAATTGCGTCTTATTAAAACAAACGGCGCCAGTAATTCTAGGTAAAATGAAGGAGATGCAGTCACAATGTGGCATATACTCCTTGTATTTAATTTGTTCAGTTGCCCTGCATGAGCAGGTAGTTGAACTTTCCGAGCTACAACAGCTGCATAGCTAAACACTGCACGCATTGATACAAGCCGTACGCGCGACTTCGTCGGCTGCTCCGTTGCTGCTGTTTTGCTGGTATCAACTAGGTACAAAGTGCATGGAGGGATTTATTAGTGTTATGAGATTTAGGAGAGTAATAGATACCCTCAAGCAGTCGAAATTTCTGAAGCCCTCTAGTATGATGTCTCTCATAATCATGTCATGGTTTTATAGCATCAAACCCTAGCAATTGTTTTTACACTGTTGTGCAATGAAGTGCCAATGACTGCCGGATATGTGCAAACCAGCGTGTGTAAGTGCTTTGCTAGGTGTAATTAGGTCATGCAATCAGCCGCGAGAGTAGCGTAGGCAAAAGGAACACATGTCTTCTGCAATTTTTTTTTCCTTCAGTCCTTTTGAAAGTCACAGAGGACAAAATTCTTCATAAGACGCCATGTAATGGAATGTCTGGTTGTCACATGCATTCTCAAAATAAACTAGGTAGACTTATACAAGTTCAAAATTTCAGCCGACGTGGCCAACAGTAGTACATGCATGACTGTGCACCACTGGTTCTATATTTACTGCCTTTCGTTTCTTCCAGTGAACATAAGGTTCTTGGCCGTCGATGGAAGGCTTAAACCATCACAGAGCATCTTCAGACTGGAAGTTCGGGTACGCTCAATTTTCATCCTAAGTGGGTAGATCTTGGTGGCAAATTTTTCTGGATAAAAATGCACTAAAACAGACTTCGTTCTTCCTTCAATTGATACAAGTGTCGCGAAAAGTGTCCTAGGTTTGGCCACTCATTTTTTTCTTATTTATTCACCAATATGTTTCTAAACATTCTGTTGCGATACAATCAAATTAAGACGTTATAACCTAAAGAGCACAAACATCAATACATTGTCATTGCTTCCGTGAAAGTGTGTACTCGCCAGCCTTCCGACACGAGAGCATTTTCCTGATCATTTCTATCTCCTTGTAGTCGTCGCACATGTGTGTTTTTAGACGAAAGGTTATATTGACAAGGCACTGACCTCAATCGAACAAAAAACAGAAAATCGAGCTAGTATAGGTGCATATGCATCACTGCGGAATAGCATGAAAACGGACAAAACACCAGACAAGGACACAAGTATGCGCTTTTTTGCACCTCAATCTCTTGCTTTGTTTTGGCTTTTTTGCGCTGTTCCGCTAAGAACTTTTGCAAAATTACGCTGCTTACCACGCTTCTGGAATATGTATCATTGAAAATTGAAGGTGAAATGAAGGCACGACCCGGGATATAAAGAAGAAGCGCTTACTGCAAATTGAAGGATTTGGCACATCAGAATGTACCAGGGCATGTGTAACCTCCGCACATGCACACCGTTGCTAAGGGCTAACGCAAGGCTACGCAGTACAAAACGGCATTTCACAACTAGCTTCTTTTCTTAAGAAGTAACACTACCAAAAAAATATAATGACGGGAGAGTGATACAGCAGGAATCCCTAATCTCGGTATGAAATGCTTCAAAAGGTCACGTCTTGTGCAATAGCCAGATTCAAAAAGATCCCTCTCGTCTGATAAGCGTGCTTTTGAGCCACACTCAGCACAGTACCGAACCAAATTCGCAAGCGACCTTCCTTAAAAAGAAGCCTGACGCTCCCTTAAGCGTACACCCATCTGCAAAATAAGCCGGGACTCGGGACGTACGAGCGACGGCCACGATCTGTTGAAACTTCACTAACCGAGCATGTGCTGCGCTCGGGCGTGAGTGCCACTATAACTTCCTTACACACACACACACACAAACACAATATATATATATATATATATATATATATATATATATATATATATATATATATATATATATATATATATTATGGTTTTATCGAGTATGAGGTGTGCTTTTTGAATAACCTGAACATGAGCTCCATACATATACTTGGAGAACACGCTGAAGCTACAGGCGGCCACTACATTTTTCAATTTAATAGGCTAGCTTTTTAATTTAAGAGAACGAAGCTATTCAGAGGGCATTAGGAAACACACGATGCTTAACCTCGTACCCATGGGAAAGGAGTGCACATTTATGGTAAAGAGAAATACGCCGCTATGAGACATTGGCCACGCATGCAGCTGTCGGAGCGCCCATGTTCTCACTTCACTCACGTATTCACCAGAATAAACATTCTAACTTCCTTTACCGCATCTGTCAGGCTATTCACACGCACGCACACAACTTTCTTTCGCACGCTGGAACGTTTCTCGAAGCATGCGTGTTTAGTTAAGCCACTGTTTGCAAGGATGTCGAGCCAGAGGTCACTCGAGGAAGATTCAGTCAAAGAGCGTTGACGATGCATAAAATGCAATAAATATTTCGTAGATGTGGTCCCTGGCGCTTTCAAAATGGGTCGTCGAGCCCTCGTTCCCCAGGCGGGAGGCAGTCATGGTTTCAAGTCATTCGGAATAGTGCTATGGCACTCACGCCTCTATCAATGTTTAAATAAATAGCACTCTACGTATTTAGAATGCACGCACAAATGCGCCGATGTGAACGTTTGTGGATGGATCAATTACCTGTGGCACATCCTAAAGTTTTGGCTTCGTGAGCCTGTACCGCAAACATGACTTAAAAGCGAACGTTCTGAGGGAACTTTTCAGCGTCCGTTTTTTTTTCCTTTGCAGAATCCCCAAAACGTGATCGTTGAAAGAACCGAATTTCAGCCCAAAAAAGAACTGCTTCTATCACACACCTATCACCTGCCCAAACGCACGCTTCTTGGGGAGTGGTCGCTTCTCATCAAGCACGGCTACAACGTATGACTCTTACGCTCCTCCGATTCGTGATCACAATGACCTGGGAAAAAATAGGTTTGCATTGAGCAAGTATAGGCACAAGCAACTAAATGTTTGCCTTAAGTAGCTATTCCTATTGGAAGACCCTATAAATTAGTGTTTGCTTGTCTTAAGGTACACTAACCTAAGGTCGTATAGACGAGGCTTTTGCTCATATCTCTTAAGTTGACTCTCTCATTGGCCAGCTGCCTTCGATACTTATGTGTCCAATATCAAGGTAGGCTGAAAATTTGCCTTCCGAGTACCTCTACCTTGAAAGATGTTTTTGTAGTTGTGACTCTAATTGTTCCCAAAGTATACGTTGTATCACTGGCATCAGGTTCCATCGGGGATTTTGTTTAAATATAGCGCAACGCAGTACATAATTAGTCCTGGTTGTGTGCGAAACAAAAAAAGAGGCGCAATACAAGCAACTCGCTATCGCTATAACTTATTATGCTTAACTAGGCTTTGAATAAGCTAATAAATTAGCTGGCCACGTGGATATTGCATGCTAGAACTCTTACACAGCCCAGGACAATATAAAGCTCCTTGATACTGGAACACTGAAACAGTGATTCCCCATTTTCATTTTTTTCTTTTGTCAATGTAGTTTCAGCAGAACACAACGTCTACGTTCCTGGTCGATAAATACGGTGAGTGGTGGCAGCAATATAGACAATATACACCGAAAACTTTTACGTTTTACTTAGTTTAGTAAATAGATTCTTACGCATGTAGTTTACTTTGGGTTGAGGACGCAATGCCAGCATTTACTTCCTAATTTTATTAATGAGAATATTCTGTCAGTTAACAAATAAAACTATTGCTTAGACTTAAGTAAAATGATACAGTACTAATATAGATTCTGCTCATATTACTTAATAGAAATCTCACCATATTCGCCAACCAATACGCTTTCATGTGCGATATACTGGGTCTAATGTGTTGCTTGTGAATTAAGCCACGCAAAGCAAAGCTCTCTGTTAATCCAAGTTTTCATTATTAGGCTATTACATCTCATTATTTTGATTCGTTTGCACAATGAGCTCTTGCAGCTCTTTTTTGAATATATCTACTGTGCCAACTGTTGCTTACCACAAGCATAACTGCGCTTCAGCCTGTCCGTATCACCGCCTTTCAAGATTTCCTTTCATTTACAATCAGGCTCACGTACACTCTTCTGCATTGCGTGACCGTCCGAGTTTTCTTCGGTATGCTGTTTATTCTGCGGAGTTCCGCGTAAAAAGCTCTCGAGCGTGGCCGGACGATATCCCAAACCATATTTCGTTAAAAGCGTTATGAATAGATCCGCCTACTGACAAGAGTATCGGCAGCACTATAAAACTAAGCCTGTGCGTGTTAAGTATGCAAGCAGTGCGATTATTCAAACCTATTTATCTATTCTTATGGTATTGTTTGTCCACTTACTGCGCATACGAAAAAAAAACTTTTATCTGTGTACTCACGTTTCATGTTACGCATTCAATTAAATGATGCGATTCCAACAGTACATGAATAAACATAATTTATTAATATCTTGCTGTATAAACTATGCGACTGTTAAATGCGATAGTGAGGGCAGCGTACTTGTGGTAAATACAATTACCTCTTTTTTTTCATCCTGGTGCAGTGCTTCCAAGATTTAAGGTCGACCTAAATGTCCCGGATTATGTATTGAGCAATTTTTCGAAAATACTCTGCACTGTGGCTGCAAGGTAAGGTTAAACTTATTGTGGCTCGAGCATTTTGTCACGCTGAATTTCATCTATCTTATTTAATGTACTCTGAAAAAAAGTTGCAACGGGCTTAATAATTTAGTCATCCTCTCTGCAAGCGTACTCACGAACGCATATAGGTTTTATTTTTATTTATTTATTTATTTATTGAAGTCGTATATATACATACTAGAGCAGACCTTATTCTGGCGCGTTGTTTATATGGACTTTGACGAAGTTCAGTATGCTTGATTGACGTATCCTCTCGCAACGTATGGACGCAGCCATGATTTCATTAATAGTGGCACATAAACTACTGCGCTATACCAGCCTTCTTAAGTCTGCAATTTGGGATTTCGCGATCCAGGCTTGTCAACTCTGAAAATTTTAGGCAGCGAAGAATTAGCCTCTGAAACACCGAAATTATTGTACACGTGAGAGGGGAGCGAGAGCCCACAAAAAACAACCAAAAAAGTCATCTAATACAGATTCAACAACAATAATATGCTAGTTGGAATCACCTTAAGAATCAAAATTTTATTCTAAAGCTTTGTCTGTCATATCTGTTCCGGCTCCTGTTACTATATATCCTCACTTTTTTAGACCTTTCAGTACGAACGAGTGCCTTACGCATTTTTGTGATCTACTAAATTACTGAGGCAGAAGATTTCGTTTCGCAGACCACTAACAAATGCGCCAATACTTCGTCCAGGTTCGTGAATCGAAAACCTGTCGAAGGTGCAGTGATTTTCCAATTCGGGCTAAAGCAGGAGGTTGGAGACGTGTCGTGGTATTCAAGCAGCAAATATCCAGTGCTCGTAAGAACTCTACCATTTATTGAGCCGTTCTCTGTCCTTAGTGGCAATGACTTCGCGAGAATGGCTTGCCTCGGGGTCCATTAAACTGCTGCTTCGACTGCGCAGCTTGAAGGCGGGGATGCTGCGTACACACTGGAGCGGGAGCAGCTTCAACCATTCATTCGCAACCGCTTGAATGAGCTGTTTGCCAGCCATGGACGATTGGTGGTGAAAGCAACTGTCACCGAGGAAGCTACTGGAGCTAAGGAGTCGGCTCAAAGTGACAAGACGGTTTTTTCTAAGACGCCCTACGTGATTTCACTCAGGAAGAACCAACGAAGCTTCAAGCCCGGCACCAAGATATACATAATCGTGAGTGTGAAATTGCCTGCACTTTTTACCACCTCAACTTTATATGTACCAGACATGCCACGGTAGTCCAGCGGTTATGATGATTGAGTGATGACCTGATGGTTCCGGGATTGAATCCCACCCGCGGTGGCAGCATTTAGATGGAGGTGAAATATGCAGACCCGTGTGCTTATGTTTAGGTGCATATTGAAGAACCCCACATTTTCAAGTTTTTTGGAGCCCTCCCCTACGCCCTCTCTTAAAAGCATAGAGTGGTTTTGGAATGTGAAAGCTCGACAATTATTGTTATAATATGATGTTATTGCTCTCATGCTCGCTACTCGTAAAGGGCTGAAGAAATTGTAACGTGAGCAACACAACACCCTTCAAGTTAGAAAAATCATGCTAGTTTCTACACAGAATTGCTTAACATGAACCCAGAAAAAAAACGGCCACTTTAGCACGCTTGTGAATGATCGCGGCGTAAGAAAAATGATTTAAGCGTGAGCACTCTCCTCCCGCCGCCACGGAGAGCGTGTCCAGATAATGTTCGGCTTTAGTACATGCGCCGGCCGCAGTTTAGACGGAGGCGCTGCGACATGGGGGCTTAAGAAACCTATCGTGACGATGCAAACTCGCGTTTCAGGAGCTTGCTCTTTATGCTCAGCCTTGTCAATCTATCCCGCCGTAGTAGCTATGCTGCCTCTGGAGCAAATGACAAGGTCAGAAAGGAACGCGATGCGCGCGTCTTTCTTCTTGCATGAAAGGGGAGGCGTCGCTGGGCAAGCAACGCTACACAAGGGAAAGCCGAGCTCCAGAGCGAGACGCAACCAGTGCGACTGGCATCCGTTGGCACGCCCATAGTTGGCGCCGTTCCAAGGCAGGGGCGCTTGCGACTTCTGGTCGAATCCGCCGATTTTCGTGAGTAGGGGGCCGGGGACGATGCGCTGCGACAAATTTTTGCTATAACATTGATAATAAATGTATTGACCATTGCCCCGAAGGGAACCTTGATGGGATGTGAAGCAGCAACGGTGCGCCCGTCGTATACCCGGCTGAAACGGTTGTCGACGCGGGTGCTGGGAGAACAGTTTGAAGCAAAACTCGGTGTAGTCTTTACTCGAGACAACGTTTTCTTTTTTGAAGCGCAAAGACACGGGAGGAGGGTTAGAGTTCATGTAAGTTTCATCGAAGATAAACGAACCGAACGAGTGTTTCCACTCGATGTGTGGTTGAGCGCTGCGGGCGTTAGAAAGGGTGAAGCGAGAGAGAAGTTCGTTGACAGCAAGGAGGCTGAAACAACATTTATTTAAACGTCCTTGGTTGCGAGCGGGTGGAGAAGCAACACCACCTAGGTCCGTTGGAAGGAGACGACACCTGCTGCGTTTGAGGGAGAGAGTCATATCAACGCGCAGCTGCGACTTGACCTACTTGGCATCGCTCCAACAAGTGGGGCGGAGGGAACGCGGTGCGACGCGTTGGCACGGAGACAAGGACGGACCGCGTTACGCAGACTGGTAAAGAGCTACTTCGCATCTAATACTAATAACTGTTGGGGCTCATCGTTTTAAAACCTTTGATGCGCCTGATAGGGTAGGTTTTTGTATAATGGCCGAGTAGATGTATGCATTATTCACTGTTCACCAGATTTAACCTCCAGATCAAGCTCTTACATCATCATTCACTTCGTGGATATGGCGTCATTTTTTTCACCTCAGCATTTTTTTAACCGTGCACGGCACCATCTAGAGCTAGAAACACAGACGATGTTTCTCGCGACCGGAAAACGCCACGTGTGGTGAACGCTGCTACTGGCTACACGGTGTAAGAAAAACGAAATATTCAACTTGTAATGGGGTCATTCCACACCAAACGTTCCAGCCAATTTGGAGACCATGTCAAATGTATTCGAAAAAAATCGTGCTGATTTACTTCGTTGAAAACAGAGAACTGCTAGAATATTTCAGAGAGAAAAAATTCTTGGTCACGTGGCTGCCTTCTGAACTTTTCGGAATGTCGTTTGGGTGTTGTTTGTGGATAAATATTCTTTAAAGTTCCGCTCTCTCTTTCTATACCAAATTTAGTCTACATATTAAGTAAATGTTTTTGTGTCAGGTGTTTGAAGCTCAGTAATATTAGTGCAACTTTTTCGGCACTTAGGCCTCCAAAGATTTAGCCAAAATGTGTTGTTTGCATTTTTTCTATTGCAATACTGCACCTTGTATGAATATTTGAGTTGTTACTACTTACTTCACACAAGGTATATTTTGAGGAATAATATTTTAAAGCTGTCAACCTGCTGTACTTTATGAAAAGAAATCACGAATTTCGCGAAATCGTCATTTTGCTCCATATTGAGATGCAATTTGCACCACTTGCTGGTCCAATTCAAAGTCGACTTCATACCTAAATCAAAAGAGCATAAGGAGGGTTTTTTTTTTCATATGGCTAATCTCATCATTTTGTTTTTTAGGAAAAAAATAATTTTTGAAATTTTGTATTGACGCCACTGCGGAATTTTAAAGCGGCAGCTGTCGTATGACCAAATAGGAAGATGGGCGTCAATGGGGAAGTTAAAAAATTATTTTCTTCTTTAAAACAAAACAATTACCAACAATATTTGCCATATAAAAATAACAGCTCAATTTCAATTGATTTCGGTATAAATGCAATATTCAATTGGACAACCACATGGTGCAAATTGCATCTCAATATGAACAAAAATGGCGATTTTGCAAAATTTGTTATTTTTTCCAACAAAGTTCAGAAGCTTCATAGCTTCAAATATATTTTTTTCTCAAACTAAACCTTTTTTGCAAGAAGTATTTATAACTCAAATATTGATACAAAGTGCAGTACTGCAATATAAGCAATGCAAGCATAACACATTGTGGCTTATTTCTTGGAGCCATATGTGCCAGCAAACCGCACTTATATTACTAAGCTTCAAACACCTTATACGAAAACATTTACTTAACATGTAGACCGAAATTGGTATAGAAAGAAGCAGCGGTACTTTTAGAATACATTTTGCCACAAACAACACCCAAGCGACATTCCGAAAAGTTCAGAAGGCAGCCGCGTGACCTCCGGCGCGCGGAAGCCCTCCGGCGCGCGGAATTGAACGTGGGGCCTCTGCGTCGTGAAAGTGAGGCCTTAGCCACTGAGCCACTCCGGAGAACGTTCTGCACCCTTCAAACGGCAAGCTATTTATATCTACCACTTACCACTGCTGTGTTTTCGACATTACCAGAAAGATGGCGCAATGAACGCAAATCGCCACATCGCGCAGCTGCGCGCACTCCAATCTACGCGTACTTTGCCCGGCTTAGAGAAGGGGAGCTACGCTACCTCGCACGCCCTTATCTCGTGGTGGCGTGGAGGGGAGGATCGTACGCCTTGGCTGACCTCGGGCTTTACCTGAAACGATACTGCTGTTGTTACCGGGCACACAAAGGTCACTGCAATCATTGCAGTCTCCGTACGCGAAAAGCGCACGTTTTTCAGACTCAGCGAAGTAACAAAGGAGGCGCTTACTCACATGCGTTAGTACCTGTGAGTACGTTTCGTGCGTAATTTGTGCACGAGAAACGCGGGGCCCGTTTTGATCTGCTTTCTATTCTGTGCGTGACCTTTCAAATTGTTGCTACCGCGTTCAATGCTTCGCCTTTGCGGCAAAGCTTTCACTTTTTTTCTTATACCGTAATGATGATATACGTATGTGTACGTGGCTACCAAGTTTTATATCTAGTTTTGTTAACGGTACTCTTGATATAATATACCTTCACGGGGTCAGCTGCATCAACAGAACATCACACTCTATTTGACTGTCGCTTTCTTAAGGCAATGCGTTGTACTAATGGTACGAAGAACGAAGGAAGGAGACAAGAAAAGCATGTGCACAACTGTGTTCAACTGTGGATTACGGGCGCGTACTTATTAAGAATGTTACGTTTGTCGATAAAATAAAGGGCTGTTTTACAAGTAAAATTCCTGCACATGCTCTTGATTTAATGAAGGAACTCGGGCAATGGAGCGTGCGCCTATTCGAATGCTGAGTGAATGAAAATTCGGTATTACGAGGATGGAGCGCAATGGTCAAGTTTACCGTTATATATGAACACATTGGGATAACTTCAGCTGAGTACTTCAGTTGTTTTTTTCAGCACTGTGGCATATAGCTTTCCACATTCTAACGATTAAGATACAGTGGTTATGAAACGAAACTTAAGAGTAAAATAATTTCCATAGGCTAGTCACTCTAGTCATCACAATTCTAGCTTGTCATGCTCCTCCATGTCTCATGATGAGCACTAACGCTCTGGAATTTACCACTGCCTAGTTTCACTCCCTCTGCGTGTGGTCAATAAGAAAAGAACGCACCGTCACACTTAATTTCTTTTATGAACGTCAACTATCCTCAGGAATGGCAAAAACGCCTTGTCTGCTGTGAAAAAGTGCCACATCGAAACCCTTTAGTCTTGTTGGCACTTTAGAAGACGAAGCCCGAAAACTGCGTGGTTCTGTGGCCTAGCCGTGTGAATGAGAGGGAAATAAAAGTGAACCTAATGCCTATGTGCATTGACCACTCAGTGTATCTTTCATTTATTCCTGTCTTATTTTCATGTTTCATATAATCTGTTTACAACGCAAGCTTGCTTGCAGAACTATTACTACTTTTCCTGTAGATCTAACAACTTCTTCAGAAAACAGCGACCACTGCGATCAAGATAACAAAAAAAGAGCAACCAGCCAATTTCTATGCATTAGTACTTCCTTCTGGGCTAACATCCGCAGATCAATTATGGACTTCATGCAGCTTCTTTCAATCTCTTTTTTTTTGTCACTGACATTTGTCGATGAATTCGCCAACGCGCTGTCAATTGTTAGGTTCATTGTTAACTAAATCGGTAGAGGCACCACCCCGGAAAGACGTTGGTCCCGGGTTCAATACCCGGACCAGGGCGAATTTTTTGGCTACATTGGAGCATAGTTTCTAAGGAACCCACAGGGATTTTTTCACAGCCTCGGGCTACAAATGAGTGATTGTCTATTTCTTTCTTTGTTAGCCCTCCCACCACATTTTGGGATTCCACAGAATTCACCTGCAATGATATATGTATTAATCACGCGATGTGCATCCCACGCAGGCTGAATTGACCTACGTCAATGGAAACCCAGCTCGATATGTGCCGATGAAGATCGAATTGTCTTCGGGAAAAATCGGAGAAGCTACAACCGACAGTAACGGAGTGGCAACGTTCTTCGTATCGACCACCAACAATGACGGAGTGCTTTCCATCGAGGTGAGAAAAGCCTCGTGTTCTCGAACGGGCAGCTGTGGCCAAGGCTGATCAGAAACAACTCACCTAATCATCACGGGGCTAAAGGTAACAAAGTAGTTCGTGATGAGGAGAATGAAGAAGTTTGAAGTACTCAACACGTACACTTTGGGCGATAATAGGGTAACGCATAACACACAGTAATTGTCGCCAAGCGTAGTCTTTGGAGCCCACCAAGAATGTCTGTAGGTACTGGAGTGGTGGTTTCTACAAACTCTCCCCCCCCTCCAGTTTTTTTATTGCCATAGAAAATAAACGAAGGAGTTTTTGTCACCGTTACTTGGCGACGGCTACCCCTTTACACTTGATTGGTACAAATGAAGAAAAAAAGACACTAGTTGCGGAATGGGTAGCCTCCATTTCAATTATATTCCGGAGAATTAAAGTTTGCTGCAATGTATACCTTTTAAAATCCTATGAAGGAGAAAACAGCCATTCCCATTCCGGCAACGGCACGGCAGTTTTATCTCATTTCTGTTATGTCTCAACGTAGGAAAGACATCTCGATAGTTTTATCGAGTTTAGAATGAACGTCCTATAAAACTAATATGATTGGGTACGTCAATAACTGCAAAAGTATCAAAACACGTTAGCAAGATCGAGAAATAGTAGATTGGTGACATATGCAGAAGAAACCACCCTACAAATTCTCATATAGGGGCCACTTTCCCACTATGCCTATAGTGTTTGCATGGTCAGTATGGTACAATGCAATGTGGTATCTTAATGTGGTTTAAGGTTAAATATGTTGATGCTAAAACAATGACATAGCGTATTTTTATGCTGACAAAGGTAGTGTTCAAGAAGACAACGCTTTTGCCACGCATCTGGAGTGATCATGAATATGGAAAGAACTAAGATTTGTTTAAGGGGGAACAAAGCAGTCTTGATCGGCTGGTATTAGTTGACACAGTGCACCTCTCGGACAACTTGTGCCTTTGCTCTGTAGACCTTCACTGACAGAGTTTCAGGCGAAGGCGCCCTTGTGTCTACTGGTGCCCTTGCCCCGAGCAACGTGAAAGCTGGTATACGAAAGCTTGCAGTGAGCACAAGCATCGCACCCTTGTCAATATGTATCACTAGAAAAGTGCTTTTTCGATTATGCCTTCGAGTTGCCGATGGTGACAGAATCAAAAATAAAGAAGTGAAGGGGGGGGGGGGGGAGGCTGCAGGCATGTGGGGCACCGCCGAGGGGAAAAAATTGGCAGCATATCCTCGGTGTGAATGATAGAGAGTGAGGCGAAGCATTCGTCCCTCCATTCGTTCTTGATTCCACCCGTCCGTGTGTCCGTCTGTGTGACCGTCCATGCATCCATCCGCCCGTCCGTGCGTGTGTCTGTTCGTGCATTTGCCCCTGCGTCCATTCATGCGTCCATTCATGCATCTGTCTGTGTGTCCGTTCGTCCATCTATTCAACACTCCAAGTACCACCATCTCGCATCTTTTCATCATATATTCCCCATATAGAAGCACCGCCATCCAGCGGACATTCCAAGGACTGAACGAGAGGAGGCACACGCACACTTTCTTACGGCTTGCGCTTCGTGTCTACTTCCCACCTTTAACCACCTCGAGTTCTTTCATGGTATATACTAGTTTATTGTATTCATGGCACTGTGGCTCAACGCTCGCTAAACCTTTCTAAAACTAAGGAGGTTACACTCAGCGAGTATAACGTAGCAACCTTTTCTTGTCCGATAGTGCTCAATATACATGCCAATGGCTGCTAAAGGGGATTGCAGCGTGCGCGTTAACTAAAAGCCGAATGCTCTTGTCTCTCATTCCCCCTTAGCAGCCATTGCCATGTACATTGAGCACTATCTTTTATTGTTCAACAACGCACTGGAGAAATCTCTCACCGGCACCACCTTGGAGGTCAAAATGTTATACTTGTTACACCCTACAACGGCTACGAGGGACAAACAAGTTCCGCTATATGGAGCTTCGCCCCTCAAAAAATGAACGCGTATCTGCGTGTTTCACTGCAAATGTCGTCGAAACACGATACTCTTACGTCTACAGGCATCGCGTGATATATGAATGCCATAAGGCAGTAATGTCTGTAAACAGAAGCAGTGTGGAACGCAGAGCGCACAGGTAGATGGCAGCGCTGGGTCGATTTAGTGAAGCGTGGGAAACACCCGCTTTTTCGTTCATAGCGTCGCATTGTCAGTGCAGCCTAGAAAACGCTGCGTTCCTTATAATTACGTATCCACGCATTTTCTGATAAATCAACACACTACCTAATGCTTACGTATCGATGTTGCGTATGAGATATGCGTAATATATGTGCTTTTTGATCGACAGTGTCAACAAGTATGAATGCAGCCACCACATCAACATGATTGGGCATTCAGCTAAGGCCTAAATTTTCGCTGTGTGGTTGATCGTCTGACAAACAGACAGAGAGACCAAAATTTCAGCGTGTAAGTATATTACGAAAGTCTATTGTCTTTTGAAAAACCACAAGGCGTAAGAGAGAATACAACGGGAGATACAATAGCATGGACACCGTACACTGAACAGAAAGAAGCTGCATCAGTTGCACTGATGACGTTCACTGTCATGGACCGTTAGGTGGACGTAGAAAGCAGACGTACGTGCGCAAGCGTGCCCTTTGTAGCCCGACAACAATCTGTCCCCTCATGTAGGGAGGCAGGCGCACACATGGAGTTCTGCTGTGACCAACCCCGTCTCATTATTGCTTTCTTTTTATCCGCTAGGCTTTGCAATCAGGCGCTGTGATCGCGCTGCAAAACTTGACTGTGTAATGCCTATAGATCTGTGGGTACGCGAAGAAGAGAGACAAACTTCAGAGCAACACTGCATAAGGACAGAGGTGTAGCAGGCATGTTGTTTATACATGCACCGTGCTTGCAGTCAGCCAATCCATTTCGAAATACTGCTTTATCGTTCAATTCGGGGCTCTGACTTACTAATGTCTGAAGTTTGAAAAACAACGCGCAGACAAAAACTTGCTCTATTTTCGCAAGAAGACGTAATTTCATTCCCATTCTATTCCACGCAAAAAGCGCTGAATTTCATTCCCATTCTATTCTTCCAAGCGTTGTCCTCATTCCGCTGCCACTCCGATTCGAGGTCGCAAAAATATGCATTGATTTCGGAATCATTCTCTGCAACATTGCCCCCCCCCCCATATGGGGGTGTCTCTTCACACCTATCTCTGACAGAGATGTCTACAGGGCCTTCTGATTAATTCAAACTTTGCAGTCACTATTTTTTTCATTTTTTTCTTATTGAAGGCTGAGTTCAATATTACAATGTTTGTCTCAAGGTGGCACTAGTAAACTGCAATTCGCGGAACTTAGAAGCTTCTGCGTAGTAAACACGCCGTACAATATGCATGACAGAAGTGGACTTGTTTGGTCGGCTCATTTGTGTGTCAAACGAAACCGATGATAACTACAGACAATTAGGCTGAAGAAAACACAGGGGACATTATTTGCTGCTTTGAACTGTAGCATAAAAATATTCTCCAAATTGACCTGAATGAAAGGGGACGAAGACACACCCTTTCTATTCGTGGGATCGGAATCCACAACCTTCGAATTTATATTCATTACACTAAGATTTAAGAAAAACGTCCTTTATTCACTTTTTAGCTGGATTCTTGTTGTTTTTATTGCTTGTGCCCATTATACGTTCCCCTGTAGTTGGTTTTATCTTCAAGAACGAAGAAGTCGTGATTATTCCTAATAGGCCGTAGAGGTTTGGCTCTCAGTGAGTGTGCTGATGCACTAGCTATATCTTCCCTTGATGGTCCTAATCTGTATATTTTACCTACGACTGAGTATATCACAGCAGCGCGCTTTGAAAAACGTACAACGACCAGTGACTTCAAAAAATCTCCTTTGTTTTCATCCGGCTATTCACAGCTAAAGTTCCCTTGGAAGAGTAGGTGGTGTGCATCAAGAAAGGAAGAACTAGTGATTACAAGGCTGCGTTGTAACCTTTATCTTCACAGGTCAGGCCTGGCAGAGAATCCTTTATGTCTTCACTGGAATGAGAGTCTCTGGAGCACTTTTTTTGGCATACCGAAGATTTAAAAATTAAAGAAAAAACTTAGCAGAACCCCTACGAAATTTGGACTTAGTCACTTCCGGTGATTCTTTCATTTCGCGCAATCACATTTGGTTTTAGCCACAGAAGCGTTTTCAATGCTGTTACGAATTTTTCACGAGAGTTTAAAAGAATGAAACACTAAACGTAGCTAAATTCATTTGTTTTAGGCATAGAAGTTGTGTGTGTGTGTGTTTTAATTATGTCATTTATTTCTAAGTTTTTTGAAATTCTACAAGTTTAAAATATTACCTGTAATACCTAATGAATTCAACTCTCCTTCAAGAAGCGAATTAGTTTAACAAGCAAGGCACCGTCCGATTAATGGCCTATCCACCTGGTTGGATTGCGCCCAGCTATTGAGGAACCAGCCAACCAACCATGTGTGACATGTCTTACCATACTTGGGGAGTGCTCAGGCCCAAGGTAAAGGCAACACTGGTAATGTTTTCGTATATTCGTTTGCCCGCTGTGGTAATGTTGCAGGTGTTCAAAAATGTCGCTCATCTGTCTTTCTCTTAAAGGTGGCCACCAACGATCGGAGGTACCCAAAAGAGTGCGAGGCACGAGAGCGGCTCAAACTAGTACCATACACGAATTTTTCACAAGGATTCATCGCCATCCAAAGAAAAGACCCAAAGAGTGTTGTTAAAGTAAGATGGCTTGTTTGCTTGCATCCTTGCATAAAGAAGTATATACGGACTCTGGAGCATCTATCTTCCTGCCTTACATGGTGCAGTCTGATAATGGTCGTTTGTGGACGTAAATTAAGACACTCGAAAGAACAACACAAGCACAAAGCACCTAGAGGGTGTCACGTCCTAATTTTGTGTCTCTTAATGTGTGGCCACCGACAATCTTTGACAGTATACCTAGAAAATGCGTCCTAAAATACTACCAGACAATTAGAAGTGCACAGGGCTCTAACAACAAGCTTTCCAGACACGAGCCACTGTCATCAAACGTTTTACTATAATCTCTAAATTGTTTTAAGCAAACGTGCACATTCTCAATGGATGCGTTTAGTGACATTACGAAGAAATGTAATAGTTCATTTAAACTCTTACATGTGTGCTGTGCATTTTTAAAGCGTTAACTACTTCTCTAGTTTTGTTTAAAACAGCGGAGCTGCTCAGCTATTTGTTATTAAGCCAGTTTGCATCACCAGAAAACTCCAGCAGCTCCTAGCATAGGATAAAAAACTTGAGTGCTATGAGGTACTTATCTTGGAAAACGAAGCGTGCGGATCTGAGACGGGCACGCGCGCCCGTCTCAGAGGTGATAGGTGTAGAACGCAAGGCGACGGGTAGGTGCCACCACCGTGTCGTCTTAGCAAAACGTTGGAAACACTTGCCTTTTTGTGCAAGCATTGCATGGTCAGCACAGCGTGATAAACGCTATGGTCCTTAGATTTACTTATGTATGCCTGTTCTAGTAAAAGACGCACATACAGAATATATACGTGTTGTTATGGTGCGTCAGATATGCGCAATAATTGCTTTTTATTTTTTGAAAATCGCACAAGTATGAACGCTGAATCCTGAGCAACATTGGTGGGCACTGCGGATGGGGTCAACCATTTGGGGTATCGGCTGGTGCCGTTTAGAGTACCGGTATTGTTAAGGGTGGAAAAACAGACAAATGGATAGACAGACCAAAATTTTTACGTCGAAGGTCCCCAAAAAGACTATCGTCTTTAAAACTTGGCATGGAGGGGAAATCGAACGCAGACCGTATGCGTGCCAGGCAGGTGTTCTACCGTAGAGCAACGCCAATGCTTGGCACTCCGTAGGCAAAAAAAAAATGTCATATTCCTGCATCAAGTAGTGCAAAGCAGAATAGGTAAGTGAAAAGGCGAGGAGTTATGGAAGGGTGAGAAGGAGTGAAAGGATGATGTGATAGGGACTTATAACACGACTTTGTGCCAAGCAGCTCATATCATAGCGCAATCAAGCATAGAAAGGTGCGGGAGGGGCTAGTGAGGAGCGGGAGGAGACTCCTGAGAGTGATGTAAGGGCGAGAAGAATAGAGGAGAAGGAGGCCACAGAGAGTGGGTACGTGCTAATGAAAGAAAGATAGACAGATGAAGGAGGAAGTAGATGCGGAAAGAAGTCAATCTACGTTCGACAGGTCGTGACGCTTGCTTGACAGTCCAAGTTACTGAGGAGCACCGCAAGAACGTGGGTTGGGCATTCACTCACGGTCAGGAGTGTGCTTAGTTAACACAGACACAGTACAGAACGGATTTATTAATGGCTTGTGTCCTGTACATGATTCGCTCTGTATTGTGCCAGAGTTAACGAAGTGCACCTTTTAAGGTGAACCAACGTTAAGCTTATATTTGCAAGGAAGGCCACTCCTCTGTTACTTGAGGTTTGGCCCCGCTTGTGCAAACCTGGCCTGAGGTTTCAATATTATCGTTTTGCGGAAAAATAGGTGCAACTTTTCGTGATCACAATTTCCAGAAGAGTCACTATCTCCAACACACCGTTGAAATTCAGTATCCTGTAATCACGATGGCAAAGCTTTCGACTCCGCGAAGGCATCATAAAACGTCTACAGCAGAGCCACTCCCCAACTGTTGCGGCTCGGACTATGTGAAGCTGAGCAAGAAGTCGTGTGGACCACACTCTCATGAGGCCAACTGATTATGAAACCACTCGCTCATCAAGGCAAGGGCTCTTGAAGAACCCTAGCTGTTTGGCGTAAAACTAATATCTCAACACTGAACAAAATCCGGCAATGCAAGCAATTGTTTATTATTGTACGTTAGCCTTAATAACAAATTTTGGAGCAGCTTTCCAGCAACCGCGTGAGGCTCCCGAGCCTAACCTAATCCAGGTGATGCCTTGTCATGTGCGTTTTTTTATAGTTTGTACTCTTTTTACTTCAAGTGTATGTGGCACTCGATGAAACAAATGCACTGAAGTGTCAGCGTAGGTTAACAAAACTCTTCTTTCTTTCAGGCAAATGACGTGTACGAAGCTGTTCTATTTATACACCACTTCGACAAAATTACTTCCTCGGTTTATTATGCGGTAAGATGTTTTTTATGCCATGTACGACTTTCAAACTTATCTCGAACTTGTAACTTGCTGTGAGTTCATTAATTATATCAGCAAGGGCATGCGATTAGATTGAGGCCGCGCATTGCCATGCTTACCATTTTTATTGTATGCAATAGTTACGTAAACAAAAATATAAAAGTCAAATTAAAGAAACGCCATGCATTCAGTTTTTTTACTACAAATTGTAGAAGACGAGTACTTTTATTTGGGGAACTTAACGACTTTGCAATAGATTTGTATTCATGGATACGAAATGGGAGTTTTTAATACGTTTTTTTCTCTGTCAGCTGTCATACGGATCGACTACATTGTTTCAACCTATTACTTATTTCTTCAATATCTACAGGTTCTGTCCAAGGGTAGAGTGCAGCTGGTCAGGAGGCTGCCTGACGGAAGAAGAATCGAAGAAAACATAGTGATACCTGTCACACCTGAGATGACGCCCAGCTTCCGCGTGGTGGTATTCGCAGTGCTGGACGGACGCGTCGTTACGGACTCCATTTACGTGAACACCCAGCCTGCGTGCACAGACACATCTAACGTAAGTGCAGTAGTGGTGCGTCGCTCATTTATCAACAGCCGAGCCCACGGATTCAATTGAATACGTATGTACAAGAATAAGAGTCAACCTCGTCCGCAGATCTAAAACAGTCCATCGAAGAAGTCGCGTCCACGCGAAGGATGCACAGAAGTCCGTTTATTGTCTTTACATGTAGCTGTGCAGCCGCAACTGGAATACGATGAGCAATGCGGAGCATTAACGCAGACATGAGAGCCGGTATGCGTATGTATACACAAGTATAGGTATAGACATACACAGGTATACGCAGGACAAGAGTGAATTAACAACTGTCAAAGTTGTTACGTGTTTGTATTTGAGAAAAGCGCTGCAAGTGTCCACAATGCACAAGCGGACGCTGTTTGCTTTTTGTTCTTTTACACTACGGCAAGTGTAAGCGCCTCTCTGAGTTTCCTGCCACGCGGCGGCATCTCATGTCATGTGTGCCCTGTGTTCCTTTTTTAAAGACGATAGTCTTTCTTGGGCACCTTCGACGCAAAAATTTTGGTCCGCCCGTCCGTCCGCCCGCCCGCCTGCCTGCCTGCCTGCCTGCCTGCCTGTCTGTCTGTCTGTCTGTCTGTCTGTCTGACTGTAGACTTTTCTGTTTGTCAGCCGAAATGATAACCAAAATGGCCAAAATCCAACCCCATCCGCAGCGCCCCCCAATATTGTTCAAGTTTCAGGGTTCATACTTGTGCGACTGTAAATTAAAAAGCAATTATTGCGCATATCTGAGGCAGAATAACAACACGTCAGTGTTTTATACGTGTCTCATTATACTAGAAAAGGCATACATAAGTAATTTTAATGACCGTACACCATTTATCACACGCCACTGACAATGCAACGCTACGCACGAAAAGGCAAGTCTTTCCAACCCTTTGCTAAGAGGGACTTTAGCTAAGACGACACCGAGAAGGCACCTGCCCGTCAGTTTGCGTTCTACACCTTATCACCTCCAAGACGGGTGTGCACGCCTTCCTTCGTTTTCGAAGATAACTGCCAGATAGCTCTCATGTCTCACATGCCTCGATGCGCTCGTTCGCCTTCGCAGCGCGGATCGAGACACTCCAACGCAGCGCCTGCAGAATACCATTCACCGATTTTCTCGCGCAGAACATCAAATAAACGTTTTGATCAGTATCTCCAGACGCAAGACTATCGTCTTTCGACGACATTTGAAGTGAAACTTGCAGATACGGGGCCAAGTTTTTTTTTTACTATTCTGCATAATGTGTGATTCAGAAGGGGGGCACTTAATCATGCGCGTCTAAAGGAAATTTTTCAACTTGAAAAAAAATTTAAATCGATTGTGATGTTTTTTTATCACCATCGCTTTTGCAACATATCCCGCTAAAGGGAAACATGTGTAGACATGAAGCAGCGGGCGCTAGTGCTTACACAGGTGGCGACGTTGACGCTGGCGCTCACCGCGGCATTACGCAGGAAAACCTGGGGAAGCGCAAAGCACGCACTGATACAACAGTGTTTTTTTACTGGAGCATGCCAATAGCTGCAAATAGGCAATAAGAGACAGGAGATTCTGATTGACACAGCGATCCGTAGTCCACTTTTAGTTAACGCGCACGCTGCGGATGTTCATTGTTCAACAACGCACAGGAGAAATCTCTCACCGGCACTACATTGCAAGCAAAAAGTATCCGAGTTAGTGGTTTTTGCGGTTCATGACATCTGAAAACTCTCTCGCGTTTAAAATTACTACCTCGCGTTGGAGTAAAAGGTGATGCAAACCATAGTTTTACTACCACATCTGAGGCACGTAGTAAAACGATGTCAAATTCAGTTTTACCTCATGGGGAGTTTTCTATCACGTGGTTTTTAACCTGCGTTTCAGGTTTTATTACCACGTGACTGCAAGCCACAGCTGCTTCGGCGGCTTTTGCCTGATACCCCCCCGCTCTCAGTGAATCGTGAAGGTATACCAGGACTACAGATTTTTTTTTTTTTTCAAAGTTTGGCATCGTCGCGCCTCATGACTGATCTCGATTCAACGCACTTTCACTGGAACTGAGAGCAGTATAAGCAAAACGAGCGAGGAAAGCATTCTGTGAATGAAAAAGAAAAGCCCGCTCCAAAAAAAAAAACCTGCTGGAAAGTTGTCCGGCATATTTTCGCAAATAGTTGGCTTTTGCTGTGCAGTGGCCCTGGGTACAGAAGTTGGAAGAAGCTCGGGATCAGTGTGTCTGGTTGAGCTGATGAATCTCACGTGTTTCTTACATCATCGAGCAACCGTGTGCTTCCGAACGCGAGCCTCCGAACCTCTACGTCTCGGATACCTCGCTTCCGGGCCGAATCGCGAAGAGCTGCCAGCGGTAACAAAATCAAGCTGGTGTCATCGTCTGTGGTTGCTTTCTGGAGAAGCGATAAAAAAATGACTTAGTATGTCGTCGGCACCGAGCCGGCCAGTGGCCAGTGGAAGTGCATCGCCGGGGCAAATGAAAGAAGCATCGCATATATTTTGTTTCACAGAAGATGATGTCTGCTGAAGTAAAGGGCAGCTCAAATTGTCCACCCCATGAGCCAAATGTTGTCAAACATGTAGCGCGTAGGCGAGAGCCGATATGAGGCAGACGGAACCAACAAGCAGCTGCCGGTGAGCCCGAAGAAAACCCGGATGGTGGTCCGTCTCTTCGTTGGTTGTACGTACATACATCGCCCCGTCCCTGTAAGACACCGCAGATAGCGGGCACGTATTCATTTCTGTCTGAAATGATGACAAAATTTACACAGGAGATGTATTCTGTGACCGCCAGCTGTCTTTCATCGCATATAGACCCTTTCAAGGTTTACAAACACGGGCCCTTGGTGTGGCGTACCAGCATCGATGGACAACAAGAGCTTTGCAAAATAATAGCCCACTGATTTTTTTAGTTTCCTTCTTTTATTTGGCAAAATATATTCAAATAAGTGTTATTTTGAACTGCATTAAAATTACTAAACATACCCCTTTACTTCACACACGTTCCTTTTATGTGAAAAACGAAAGAGATGCTTTCCTTACCTTTAAAAAGAACTTGAAAACGTGCTTTCAGTTTTGACGTTAGGAGCTAGTAAATGAGGTGACCGGAAGTTTTTCGGGGAACAACGCTTGCAACCTTGAAACCGCCTATAGCCGTGCTCCTCGAAAAGGCCCAGTACGCCGTCGGTAAGGAGCTTGTATACAGGCGTGCACCACTCTTTTAGGCCCGTTGTCATATATACGTGCTGCTACTGTGTTTGTGCACCGCCGCTCAACAAAAATCATTGAGCTGCCGTCGTCTGTGTGTACATATCTTTATGTCATGGACCTGTGCATCAGCAGTGCTAGCACGGGAGGGGCCAACAGGCCGGTGTGCCAGATAATTATTAGATAATCAAAAAGGTGAGATCGGGTGGGTTTATAATGAAAGGTTAGTGTGACTCTTAGCGACCTTTAGCCCACCTTAACTTTAGGCTTGCAATTTCGACCGTTATTGTTATTCAATGCAAAATACAGCTCTCCTACCGGCACTACGTGGCAGGTCAAAAAGTCGTGCCTATATATACCGGATTGTCGAAGTACAGTCGGGCAACGCGTTCAGTCTGTTTAAGTGATGTTTTATTCTGCATTTGTTGTGTGTTCGTCTTTGGCTGTATCTTAGTTTGTGTTAAAAATAGTTTGAGCGCAAACACACGGCACATTCACACACACCCAAGCATCAAACACGCCCATTCACTCTCCCTCTACTCGCCCAAAACCTCAGTGGGGTAAATATTTACTACCCTTCCTATGTTTAAAAATTCAGTTAGCACGAGAGTAAATTTTTACTTCGACTGGTAGGTGGTAAAAAAACAGAAAATGTATTGCGCTAGAGCACAAATGGTTTACCCAGTTTTTGAGATTATTTCAGGTTATTTTCGCATAGTGTGTACCTTGAAGGTCAAGATCCAGTACCTATATATACGGGGTGGCTAGTAAACAGACGTGCAGCGCAAGCAGTCAATTTTTTTTCAATCAAGAAACTCGTTGACAGAGCTGCCTGCGTCGGCGTTGCGAAGTCAGAGAGGAAAGGGAGCGCGCATGCGCGATTGGGTGTAAACGCCGTGGGGAGGGAAGCGTAGAGGAGAGAGTGGAAGCGTATATAAGGAGGAAACGTGCATGCGCAGTAAGAGTGCTCACGCCACACACCGAATTGAGCTCGACCATGAGACGCTGCGCATCTAAAAACATTCAAGCTGTTCTGAGATCTGCGTACCGGGAGCTTTAAATGGTGCATATGAATAGCTCACCGTTATATCACTGGCACAAGCATGGCACGTATATAGCTGTGTTGGCTGGCGCAGCGGGCCGCGGAGGTAGGACTCGCTGGTTCAATTCCTCTATATCCCTTACAAAAATGGCTTTGACCTTCCTGTCACCCACGAGTCATTTATCAGTTACCCCAGTCACCTTCCTGTAGACTGGACCTTTCTGTAGGTTTTTAGCAGACGCTGAGCAGACGGCAAGCAGACGTTTTTGATACTGTGCATCTAGATTGCGTGTGCGTAGACGTATGTAACATATATGTATGTATTTACAAATTTTCAAACGTGGCACATTGGATGATAATGATTTATTGGGTTTCATCTTTCAGTCACCTATCAGTCACTCACCCGTCACCCCCGTACAGACCTCATCTGCAGATTTTTTGCAGATGCCGAGCAGAGGGCAAGCAGACTTGTCTGTTAATCTGGGCCCTTTGAGCGCGTGCGTGGGTACACACTGTATATACATACATATCTATACATTCTGGGTCATGACCCAATTGATAATATCAACTAAATGAACTTCACCTTTCAGTCACTTATCAGTCACCCAACAGTCACCCCCCTAAAGACCTGGCCTGCAGATTTTGTGCTGACGCCAAGCAGACAGCTAGCAGACTTGTCTGTTTATGCGGGTCATGTGTGCGAGTGTGTTGATGTATATATTACATACGTATATATCTGTACATTCTTGGTGA